AGCTTGGTTCGCCGAGATACGTTTTTTTCATCGAGTGACACTCATATACCCTTGGATTTTACCCTCTACATATCGGTAAGTACTCATTTTTTGTTTCTATGTGTAAATGGATAGTTTAGGCATATTTTTTATATATATTAAGTCTGTGTGAAGCATAATGTGAGTGCACCATGCAAAGGAAAAAAGTGCAACAAAAAAAAGACCGATAAATATCGTTCTTGCCTATTTGGGCCCAATTTAATTTTCAGTAAATAAATATTTTATAAAAAAAATTTATATGCATATATCAAAATTTTTATAGTCTGGTGTGTACAGAACATTTTTATTGTCCTTCCAGATCAATCAGAAATTGTTTTATGGGAGTCCTCCAAAGACAAGTCCAAATACTCTGCATTTTGGAGGAAAGTGACTCAGATCCAGAGCCAGATCACCAGGGAATTTCTTGACAGTAGTGATGAGTACTTGCCACAGGATGCAGAGGGGTCAGTGATGATGAGGAAGACAGACCATCCAAAAAGCCAAAATTCTCACATGCCAGTGCCAGGCAAGCTACTTAGGGTCAAATTGTGCAGCAAACACAAACATCATGTCACATCCTCATTTTCCTTTGCCATATGCAAAGTAAAAATACATCAAGAAGGATAGAAATTGTACAAATTTGTGAACTAGAATGATTATTCTTTCTTAGGAAACTCAAGAATGTGGGAATTGAAAGTTAATATCCCTTTGCAATGTGCCTATGTTGCTACTGATTCATTTTTTTTATTTTTTTAATACTTACAAAATGTTTGAAAACAAGTTTAATTTATGTTTTTGATATTGTCTTTTTGTATAATAAAATTAAAAAATAGTTAAATTTTGGGGTTTTTTTAGCAATTGCAAAATTTGCAACATTTAAAAATGTTCACCCTTAGATAGGCAAGACCTACTTTTGTCGGTCTTCTCATATTGGCAATTGATTGAAAACAAACTTTCCCCCTATTCCTTTGTAATGGGGTTAAATCCGAGTGGGGATCATAACGAGTGGCGTTCCACAGGGATCAGTCTTGGGCCCGTTTTTTTTTAAAAATATATATCAATGATCTTGATGAAGGAATTACTAGTGATATGAGCAAATTCGCCGATGACAAAGAAGATAGGTAGGATAAATGATTTCAAACGTAGAGTTAGGGAACTTCAGGAGGATTTAGACAAACTCTACTCTTGGTCAGAAAAGTGGGAGATGCAGTTCAATGTAGATAAATGAAAGGTTCTGAAGCTCGGGAGTGTCCATAACCCTAGCACTTATAAGTTTAAATAATGTAGAATTAGCCATACAGATTTCGAAAAGGACTTTTGGGGGGTTTTGGTAAGCAGCAACCTTAAACCAAGACAGCAATGCCTAAGCGTACGTAATAAGGCAAATAGATTACTGGGATTTATATCAAGAAGTGTAAGCAACAGAGGTCCAGAGGTCATACTGAAGCTTTATACATCATTAGTAAGGCCTCACCTAGATTATGCAGCTCAATTCTGGTCTCCATATTACAGAATGGACATAAATTCGTTAGAAAACATTCAGCGTAGGATGACTAAATTAATACATAGCATTAGAAATCTTCCTTATGAAGAAAGATTGAAGACTCTTAAGTTACATTCACTTGTTAGACGAAGAATGAGGGGAGACCTGATCGAAGTGTATAAGTGGAAGATAGGTATTAATAAAGGGGATATTAACAAGGTCTTGAGGATATCTCTCCAAGAGAGAACCCGCAGTAATGGATTTAAATTAGATAAGTTAGATTTAGAAAGGACATAGAAAGTATTGGTTGGAAATAGGGTAGTTGATGAGTGGAACAGTCTACCTAGTTGGGTTATTGAGGCTAGGACTTTGGGTAGTTTCAAATATAGGATGGATAAGTACATGAGTGGGAGGGGTTGGATTTGAGTAGGACTTGCACATCAGAGCTTATTTCTTGGGAAGCATTGAAAATTGGGTTGGTCAAATGTTTGTTAGTGGGATGAATTGTAAAGGACCTGCCTAGTATGGGCCAACAGGCCTGCTGCAGTGTTCCTCCTTTCTTATGTTCTTATGCGTGGAACAGTCTTCCCAGTGGGGTGATAGAGGCTAGGACCTTGGGTAGCTTTAAGAAGAAACTGGACAAACATATGAGTGGGAGGGGCTGGGTTTGATTGGTGTCATTGGGTACGGGAGTTATTTCTTGGGAAGCTTTAGATAAGGACCTGCCTCGCATGGGCCAGTAGGCCTTCTGCAGTGTTCCTCCATTCTTATGTTCTTATGTTCTTATCAATTCTATGATTCACCTCATCTTTCATAGACCTATCCGTTGACACGTCCACTCCCAAATATCTGAATACATTCACCTCCTCCATACTCTCTCCCTCCAATCTGATATCCAATCTTTCATCACCTAATCTTTTTGTTATCCTCATAACCTTACTCTTTCCTGTATTCACTTTTAATTTTCTTCTTTTACATACCCTACCAAATTCATCCACCAACCTCTGCAACTTCTCTTCAGAATATCCCAAGAGCACAGTGTCATCAGCAAAGAGCAACTGTGACAACTCCCACTTTGTGTGTGATTCTTTATCTTTTAACTCCACGCCTTTTGGAAAGACCCTCGCAGTTACTTCTCTTACAACCCCATCTATAAATATATTAAACAACCACGGTGACATCACACATCCTGTCTAAGGCCTACTTTTACTGGAAAATAATCTCCCTCTTTCCTACATACTCTAACTTGAACCTCACCTATCCTCGTAAGAACTCTTCACTGCTTTCAGTAACCTACCCCCGACACCATACACCTGCAACATCTGCCACATTGCCCCTGTATCCACCCTGTCATATGCCTTATCCAAATCCATAAATGCCACAAAAACCTCGTTAGTCTATCTAATACTGTTCACTTAAATGTTTCACTGTAAACACCTGGTCCACACACCCCCTACCTTTCCTAAAGCCTCCTTGTTCATCTGCTATCTTATTCTCCGTCTTACTCTTAATTCTTTCAATAATAACTACCATAAACTTTACCAGGTATACTCAACAGACTTATACCCCTATAATTTCTTTTGCCCCCTTTGCCTTTATACAAAGGAACTATGCACTGCTCTCTGCCAATTCCTAGCTACCTTAACCCCTTCCATACATTTATTAAATAATAGCACCAACCACTGCAAAACTATATCCCCACCTGGTTTTAACATTTCTATCTTTATCCCATCAATCCCAGCTGCCTTACCTCCTTTCATTTTACCTACTGCCCCACGAACTTCCCCCACACTCACAACTGGCTCTTCCTCACTCCTACAAGATGTTATTCCTCCTTGCCCTATACACAAAATCACAGCTTCCCTATCTTCATCAACATTAACAATTCCTCAAAATATTCCCTCCATCTTCCCAATACCTCTAACTCTCCATTTAACAACTCTCCTCTCCTATTTTTAACTGACAAATCCATTTGTTCTCTAGGCTTCCTTAACTTGTTAATCTCACTCCAAAACTTTTTTCTTATTTTCAACAAAATTTGTTGATAACATCTCACCCACTCTCTCATTGCTCTATTTTTACATTGATCAACCACTCTCTTAGCCTCTCTCTTTTTTTCCATATACTCTTTCCCTCCTTGCATCACTTCTACTTTGTAAAAACTTCTCATGCTAAC